ACACATTATTTTTCAAATACTGTACATTATTGTAGGTCCTCTATGCCCCGCCTCTCTCAAACGCTTCGTTTTCTACAAAGTCCCTCCTTCCGACAAGCGCAGTCTGCTCTGATTGGCCAGCTGACCCAGTGCATTGTGATTGGCCGAACACCACAAGCACGCGTCGGAAATGTAACGCCCCTTACCATAATCGCAGCTTCAGCTTTCAAAGTAAATATCACGACAGTTAATAATGTCGTTAGTTTTACCATCAGTTCAAGCCCGAAAGGGCAACAGAGTCGCGTGACAGACACAGTGATGATGCAGAACATAAGCCGCGGTTAAGACAGCTGAGGTGCTATGATTTCTGACTGACAGTTCACTCTTCTGTGATGTGACCCTGTTCCCCTCGCTGTTCTGTTGTAAGTAATCTTAAAGATTCCTAAATGCATCTACTTCCGGAAGGCCAAATAAAGTGCTTTTGCTTTCGTCTAGAAACACACAGCGTCTCCCTGACATGCTGCTTCAACACTAACTGCGGTTACTGAAACCACGCCTTCTTTCTTTGCGTGCACATTTGGGCGGCATTATGCTAATATTTCCACATAGTGAGGTAGATATGTGGGGGGCGTGTTAGAACGAGCCGTTTTAGGGGGGCTTAACTCTTAACTTTGATAAAGAATATCTCTTTGGATTTGAGACTTTAGTCTTTGACAACTTTACAGATCTTGTTTATGCACCAAGAGCTTGTAACACTCCAAAGAGAAAGGAAAACTTGAAATCGCATCATATGACCCCTTTAAGTAAGAAATCCATGTTTTAAGATTAAATGTAAAGAATAATGATGTAAAGTGAGCAACTGATATATGATTGTAAAGGCAAAGCTCTTTGGGTGTATAGCAATACACAAGAAAGCGCTATATAAATGCCTCATTCATTCAACTTCAGAACATCTCATGCTGGATATCATGAATCATCAGGTGTTGTTCATGCCAACTCTAGTTCTGTTGTCATTAAAGCATAAGAGAGACAATATAGCAAAGCATTTAGAAATGTATGTACTTTTTTCAGTTTAATTATTTGTAATTACATTTTTAATTTGAGAATGAAGTTTCACCAGCATTTTCAGACTTTTTAGACCCCACTGTATTTTCCCCCCAAACTTCACAGATTTTTTTTATGGATTACATTTCATGTCATTCTGAATTAAAGGCTTTAAATGACAGAATAAATTGTTTTATTTGGCAAATAAGAAATGTATTTACAACACACACAAGTAAAAACCCTGATATGAAAACATTTGGCTTTGTGTATGTATAAACTGACATGAATGTGTGCCCAAGTGAGTGATGTTCCACAGTACTGTGGTGAACTTTAACCCTGATCCCGTGGTTTCCTCAATGCGACAGCTATCCTGAGATGAGTGATGTCAGAACCTTCTCTTCCAATCAGGAGACAAGCATGAGAGGATGCTGCTGTGGATCTAGTCTGAGCTAATGTTCTGGATATATTTTGTGCTCTAGGAGAATCTCAGGTCCTCAGAAGCGCACTCGTACCCTCCAAGAGTACGTGGTCAGCACCTTGTTCTTCTTCCTCACGATGCAGGTGTATGTGCCCTCATTGATGGCATTTGCCACAATAGTGATTTGGTCGTCTTTCAGGGAAATGTAGCCGGGATGAGAGAAGTCCAGAAGCTCGCCGTCCTTATACCAACTATCAGTGTGAGAGAATGCTTCAGGTTAGGACATTTCTAACAAACACAAATCTCATTTATGTTTTAAAACATTTTCTCTCTAAAAAAACACAAAACTCAAATCTTCAGGATTGACATCATACAGAGCTTGTAAAAAGACCATGTATGTTTTACAGCATTGAGTCTCAGAGGAATTAAGTGATTGGCAGAAAATCACTCCTGGAGGCACACCAACAGTTCCCATTTTCAACTCATGGGGCCTCATTTATAAAATCCACGGCAACGTTCATATTTATAAAAACGGCCTTTGATGTGGAAAAGTACTTTTAAAAAAAATGCATAAACGCATCTCCAACACATTTTAGCAGCATTAGTAAACTAAAAGAAATGCCAAATCACATGCAGGTTTTTTCAGACCGGAGACCATAATCAAGTAATAATTAATTTTATGATATGATATGAAACGTCCAATTTTTCTTTCAGTAATGTTTTTTAAAGTTTTTCAAGAATTTTGTGATATTAAACGTTTTATTAGTTGTCATAGCAAGTGATTTTAAAAGTAGGATGGCTCCCTTTTTATAACATGACTAAAAATTTTACTTGAATTCGTAGTTTATTCTTTTGGAAACCTAATTGTTTTATTATTATTATTATTTCTGTTGTTTCTAGAAGTAGTAATTTTTATAATAGTCAATAGAAAAAAATAAAACCACACACAGTTTGTCCACAGAATAATTACACATTATTAAATAAAAAGTGTCGCCGCACGAACCTCTACCTCCGCCAGCAGGACCTCAGTTTCAGACTTTTCAGACTTTTTTTTTATTTGTGCTCGTCATTCTCAAGCATAGAAATTCGGATATTGGCGTGTGCTCTTTTATATGGTAATGATATTAATTAGGGGGCATTTACAAGGCTGAGATCTGGCACCAGTCAGCTGCGCACAATTTCAAGATCATTTGTGATTTATAAATGTCACATCTGGAAGAGAGGCATACGCATGTGTTTTTGTGCGCACGTTCGTTTTCTCTGAATCGCACTTACGCACTTTTAAGAAATGATCTTAGAACAAATTTAGGACAGTTTATATGCAACATTTTATAAATGAGGCCCATGATCTTGTTAGTAGAGACTCTGAAATAGACTTGAAATGGATTGGTCATATAAGGGAGACATCCAAAATGTGCACTGTTAGTGTGCCTACAAAACTGGGTTGGAAAATGTGATCAAAAAGAATTACAAAGATAAAGTCCAAAATAAACAATTTCTTAAGAATGAAACTCTGCAGTACATATAGAGGGCCAGAGTTGCCCTGCCCTGGTTGAAACAAGCACAGATGCTTCTCACAATAATAAAAAGGAACCTAATATTCACTACAGGTGCATCCAAACATGAATTTAATGATTATTCTTAATGAGAGGCAACATGTTTGGGTTAAGTAATTTGAATAAAAATATTCCCAGACCACCTCCTTATCAGACAGGGGTGTGCAGTCCTTGAAGGGCCAACAGCCTCGTGGCTGGAATTGCATCTACAATACCAAATACTGACTTTAAAGGGGGCTGCACACCTGCTGAGAAGCAGTGATTTTGTTTTCTATAATTTTAGACACATAGGTGGTTCCACTCTGCATGTGTCCATGGGGCCCAGCTATGCTTCAGGACACTGTTCAATATCCTGCCACACCACAGAGTACCATTTACATACAGTAGTTTTCCATTAAATAACATTTGTCCCAAATTATTGTTAATGCACATAATGACTTCACCCTATGCTGGAACATCACGTATTGTGCATTTTTCAGGAAAACACATCTGTCTGTGGTTTGAATAATGTCCATATGCATCGTACAGAAAGCTAGAATAATATATATTACGCTTTCTCTGTCCGTTTGCCCAGTTTTTTTCAAACACCTAACTTCAAACTCATCGACACTGCTTTGTGTATTCTTGAAGTGAACTTTTGTCTGTTTGGTGATTGGATTAACTGTTTTGGACTACTACCTTGAACTGAATGTAATGTGTGCAGTTTGTGATACCTGTGCGTTGTCCTAGCCATGGTGTAGCTCTGTGCTGCGCTTTTCATCTGGTGTGTGACCACCTTAAGGGGGTGAATATTTCCTCTGTGCTTCAATGTTGTAGAACAATAAAACATGAAAACCACTAAGGGGCAAATCATTTTTATTGGCACTGTACTTTTCAGAATCAGCATGCACTCTAAAAAATGCTGGGTTGTTTCAACCCAATGTTGAGTCAAATATGGACTAACCCAACTGTTGGGTTAAAAAGCTAATTTAAAAATGTAACCAAAATTTAACCCAACAGTTGGGTTAGTCCATATTTGACCCAACATTGTGTTGAAACAACCCAGCATTTTTTAGAGTGTGGGTATGGAAACCAGTCAGAGTTACTATAACACTCTGTGAATAGAAAAGCAAGAACTCACTAGATTTTGCCTTTCTTGGCTGCTATCTTCTTACCACAGCGGAAGGTGAGGTTCTTTCCCTCCACAACAAACTTGTGTTTTGTTCGTGGGGGAGTTGGGGTTGGCGGGGCAGTGGGAAATGGGAATTCTGTTTGAACACAGAAAATGAAGTATATTTGGTTATTAAAACGGTACTGCTTCCTGAAACGACTCTCTCTTTCTGGAAAACCAATTACATAATCTTAACCCAGGCTCATTGGAAATACGAACTCATGGAGACGTTTCTGCAATACAGATATCACGCACACAAGCATATAAGCACTACACACACATACACTCATTGCAAAGTCTTGATTTGCTAGGGTGGTCATTTCTGAGTGTTTACCTAGTGGATTATCACCGTGTTTGATCTTGTACTGTTTCCTCGTGTATGATTCTCTGCTGCCTGCCCCGATCTATTGACTGTTCTTTGGACTGTGACTGTAAGCTGCCTGCCCCGAACTTTTGCTGTCTCTTTACCCTGTAACATTCTGATCATACTGTCAATAAAGCTGCAGATGGATCCTCACTCCACTGACTCTTCGTTACAGAAGACTTCGCCACACAACGATCCAGCAGCCATCATGCAATTATCGTCAGAATTGTCTGTCCAAGCCAACCAGCTCACCATTCACCAGCTCACTCATCTAACTTTCTTGACTGAGGAGCTTAAGAATTTACAAGGCCTTCATTTGAGACAGTGTGAGCTCAGATCACCACCCCTGCAAGCACTGCACCCAGTCCACCCTCCACTGTGAATCCTCGACTAGCATTTTTCATTTCATTTAGTTGAAAAATTAAAGGGATTCCTGTTACAATGCTCCCTCTTTGTCAATCAGCAACCCGCATTGTATCCCACAGACTCAAGCAGAATCTCCTTTGTGTGTTCATTATTGACTGGTAGAGCCTTAGACTGGGCCACCGCGGTATGGAGGATGGATGGTTCAATGAGTCCCTCCTTTGAGACATTTCTTCAATGCTTCAGGGAGGTTTTTAAACACCCAGCTGGGGGAAAGAGTGCTGGTGATCAACTTCTCACTTTGATTCAGGGAGAAGGAACTGCAGCAGAGTATGCACTAATCTTCCGCACTCTCGCCGCTCAAACTGAATGGGTGGAGGACACTTTGAAACTATTATTCCGATGAGGATTGAACCTGGAACTACAAGCTAAACTAGCCTGTCACGACGAGGGTAAAACTCTCTACAAATTCATCAAGTTGACCATTCAAATAGATAACTTGATCTGCTCACGATGTCCCATCCGCACAACACAACTCACCACACAATCTTCCGCCTCTAACACTGAACCAATGCAACTCGGCTACACCCACCTCACTCCTGAAGAACGCAACTGATGAGTACTTTACCTGTGCATGTACTGTGGTCAATCTGGCCATCACAAATCGACATGTCCTGTCAAACCCGTTGCATCTAACTCCAGATCGGTGAGTTCCTGCTTCAAAAGCAATTACTCTGCCTCATGTATCAGAATACCAGTAGAGCTATCCATCGCTGGTAAAGTTATATCCACTTCTGCCTTGCTAGACTCAGGAACAGCAGGTAATTTCATATCTATTGAGTTCACTCAACGACATCACCTCGCTCTAACACCACGTAATTCTCACTTGGCAGTGAAGGCACTAGATTGCCGACCTCTCGGAGAAGGGAAGATTGCATACATCACAGACGAAGTAAAGGTGCAAGTAGGAGTACTCCATAATGAGTCCATTAAATTCTAAGTCACCAATTACCCAAATAACCCCATCATCCTCAGCTTACCATGGCTACGCAGACACAGTCCTCAAATCTCATGGAAAGAAAGACACATTATTCAATGGTATCCAACCTGTCATAAACACTGTCTGACTCAGATCTCTCCCCTGTCAGTACACACAATCACCTTCAAAGAAAAGAACCCCGATATCCCAGGGCTACCCACTGAAGCGTTCAGCAAACACAAAGCATCCCAGTTACCGCCTCATCGTTCCAGTGACTGCATGATCGATCTGATACCAGGTACCACTCCTCCTAAAGGCAGAATCTTCCCGTTATCACAGCCTGAATTCTGATGCCATGAAGAGTTATATCGAAGAGGAGCTAGCTTAAGGTTTCATCAGACCCTCAAATTCACCTGCTTCGTCTGGGTTCTTCTTCGTAAAAAAGAAGGAAGGAGTTCTCAGGACCCTGTATAGACTATCACAGCCTCAATGATATCACCAACAAATTCCGATACCCATTACCACTACTACCTGCCCCTTTAGAACAACTCCACCAGGCCAAATACTTCACTAAGCTCGATTTGCGTTCCGCATACAACCCGATCCGAATCAAAGAGGATGATGAGTGGAAAACTGCATTCTCTAAATCTACTGGGCACTATGAATATTCTGTTATGCCGTTTGGCCTTGTGAACCACATCTATAACACATCTTCAGTGTTTCAGTCTTCCATAAATTATATTGTCCGGGATATGCTTGACCGATGGGTGATTGTGTATATTGATGACATCCTGATCTATTCAAACTCTCTTGAGGAACACATCCAAGATGTCAGATCTGTTCTTAAATGCCTGATTCAGTACCAACTTTAACAGGTCGATTTTGGCCTGTCTAATTAATATTCATGAGCCTCTCTTCTGATTGGCCTTTTGTTTTCTGAGTGGCGCACAGCCAGGCCAAGCACAGGTAACTAGGGTCAGCCGATGTCACAGCGTTAGCTGGAGGCAGCCCATTCAAACCAGCGCAGATTCGGCTACACAAGGAGCTTAAAATATCATCTTGTTGTGATGTTGGGTGCCAGAATCGACGCAATACAGCCTCAAATTAGAAATCTGATTGCATATCTGCTGCCACTGCCAGACAAAAAACTGACGACAGCTGTGGCTAAACGCGATAAAACGAGCGGACTGGACAGAAACGATCGTCAAAAATGCTCGCGTTTGCAGCGCAGACTTCTTATCAGAAAAGGTTCAATAAAGTATTGTCTTTTGTTGTTATGGGTGCGTTTACAGATTTATTGCCATATGTTTCTTGCATCTCACGACTAACAGTTATGTTGTGTATGAAATAATGTCTGTGTGCATGTGTGTAAAACAACAAACTGACGATCTATATATAATCATTTGTAATTGTATATACATTGTTGTGATTAATTGTGGCTGGAACAATAATGTAGCTGTAAAAGTAGTTGCCTGCTGAAATCGAAATGTACTGTATATACATCATCATGACTAGATAGACACGGTGAGTTTGTCTTTACTATACAGATTAGATGTGATCCACCTCATAGTAACAATCCTGTCAGATCGTCCATCCTTTGAGTGAGAGTGTAACATTACAGGTCGGCCGATCTGGTTTCGTGGTTAAACCTTTTCGACATGTTTCCGTGTTGTCGTTGCTCAGCAATGGCATGGACGCGATGTTGTCTGGGGGTTTGGCAAAAGGAGAGTGGGACGGTGGGCGGTGCTCGGGGTGGTGACTAAAGGCGGTGACTGTGTAGTTCTGACGTCAACTTTGTATGGAAGTCACAACGGTTCGTGAAAAATCACAGCTACTTTATGCAGGCTGTGTGAATTTGACTGTGGACTGACTGTTTTGAAACTTATATGGTAGTTACATAGCACCTAGACATCAGTTATCATGAAAAAAAGCCAGAAAATTTCAGTTTTGACAATATGGGACCTTTAAGAACTTCAGCTCAGTCACCACTTCATTGACCACCATGACAAAACGCACCACCTCTCGCCTCACCTGGTCCCCCAAGGCCTTGCAGGCTTTCCAGGAGCTTAAGACCCGATTCACCTCAGCACCCATTCTCTATCATCCCCATCCAGGTCTTCCGTTCATTGTAGAAGTGGATGCTTCAAACACAGAAATCGGGGCAGTTCTCTCTCAATGTCATGGATCTCTAGCTAAAATGTTTCCCTGTGCCTTCTTTTATAGAAAACTGTCATTTTATGAACGAAACTATGATGTGGGCAATCGCAAACTGGTGGCCATGAAAGCAGCCCTGGAGGAATGGCGCCACTGGCTGGAGGGAGCACAACACCTTTTCACCGTCCTAAAAGATCACAAGAATTTAGAATACTTACGCTCAGCTAAATGATTGAATCTCGACAGGTAAGATGGGCTCTATTCTTCACTCGGTTGAATTTCACAGTCACATACAGACCCAGCTCCAAGAATGCCAAGGCCGACGAATGTACTCCACCACAAGTATGTCCACATGAACTCACCTTTGTCCCCAAACCACTTAGAAACAAACTCATCCACCAAGTACATGCTACTCCCAGCTCCGGATACCCAGGCATTACAGCTACTCTTCATCCCCTTAAGAATCGGTTCTGGGGGCTGTGACATTTGTCAACAACTGCACAGAATGTAACACATCCAAGACTTCCCGAAAACTACCAGCCGGTCTCCTTCAACCATTACCTATCCCTCAATGCCCCCTGGTCTCATATCGCTGTCGACTTCATTACTGATCCTCCCAACTCCCAGGGCAATACCACCATACTTACAGTCATAGACCGATTCTCTAAATCCTGTCTTCTCATTCCTCTACCCAAACTCCCTACTGCCTTCGAAACAGCTGAAGTTCTATGCAACTATGTATTTCGGTTCTATGGTCTACCCGAGGACATTGGATCTGATAGGGGACCCCAATTCACTTCCCAAGTCTGGTCTGCATTCTTCAAACACCTCAACATAAATGTAAAGTCTCACATCCGGATACCACCCACAGTCCAACGGTCAGACTGAACGCATGAACCAGGGCCCTCATTTATCAAGATAGAATGCATAGAAAGGTTCTATATTATGTCCTACGAAAGAAATTTAGAATGTAAGTACAAAAAAATCCATATTTATCAAACGTGCACACGCGGTTCTTCCGCACATCAGTAAGTAATCATTGTTGATAAATCCCATATGTTCTTAAGCACCATGCTTGTTCACGTTCATGGACATTTGCATTCAGAAACACCTTCAATGGAACATGTCTGTAGTGACAACACCTCCCTTTATTATCACATGAATGTATAAGTCCTCAACAAGGTCATGGCAAAGAACGCTGTACCAACTGAGAAGCCATTCTGTTCTCTCATTAAAC